CGGTTGCCAACCATTTTAACTCCCCCTCCCACTCCCTGGGTGACATGTCCATCCTGGGCGACATGTCCATCCTGGGCGACATGTCCATCCTGGGCCTCCTCCTGTGTCACAATGACACCACTCACAAACTGGAGGAGCAGCACCTCATATTCTGCCTCGGGAGCCTATAGCCCGATGGCTTAACCATGGAATTCACCAGTTTCAAATCTCCCCACCCCTAGCCTCATCCCATGTCCAATCCTCCCTCTCATCCCCTCCTCCTTGACCTGACACAACCTGTCCATCTTCTCTCCCACCTATCTGCCCCTCCTATCCCACTGACCAATCCCCACTACTCCCTACCTGCACTCATCTATCACCATCCCACCTACTTTCCCCAGCCCTACCCCTCCTTGCTCTATTTATTTCTGAGCTGCCTTCTCCCTCCCCATTTCTGAAGAAGGGTCCTGACCTGAAACGTCAATATTCCTGCTCCTCTGATGCTACCTGGCCTGCTGTGTTCTTCCAGCTCCACACCATATTGTCTCTGACTCCAGCATCTGCCGTTCTTGCTGTCTCTGCGTCGTGGGATACCGTTTTCCAACTACCTCCTGAAGAGCGATCACTAAATGGACAGATATGTGCACAATGGAACTGCTGACTGCCTGAAACAAGGGCAACTTAATTTAACAGCAAACTGCTAATTGTGCATGATTTGTGATGACTTCCTCAGTGCTACATAAGTGATAGAAGGAGGAATATGCAGTAAAGTTATTGTTTGATGTTTAAAGTCACAACATTCATAAGCAATTGTAAGCAGCTTTTATGCACTGCAACCACATTCACCTATAACTGGGCAGAAACATTTGGACACTGATTCAAGAGTGGGTTGCATGCCAAAGTGTTCTGGTGGTAAGGTCATCAACTTCGGGCATGATAACAGGAGAGTGGTGGATATGCCCACAGAGCAATGAACATGACACAATAAAATTATTTAAAAATAAAGTTTAGAGGTGTTTGTAACATACCATATTCAGTTTTAGGAACATAGGAACGGAAGTAGACCATTCAGCCCCTCAAACCTGCTCCACCATTCAATAAGATCATGTCTGATCTGTGGCCTAACTCCACATGTCTGCCTTTGGCCCATATCCCTTGATACCTTTGCTTAATTTATCCGAGTTAAATTTAATAATTGAATTAGCATTGACTGGCTTTTGAGGAAAAGAGTCACAAACTTCCGCTACTCTTTCCATGTGGAAGTGTTTTGGCTATGATCCCTGGTTCTAGAATCCTCAACCAGTGGAAATAGTTTATTTTTATATACTGCATCTTTCCCTGTTAATATCCTGAAGACCTCAATTGGATTAACCTTATAAATTCTGGGGAATAAAGGCCTAATTTGTCTAATCTTGCCTTTTAACATAACCCCTGAAACCCAGGTATCATCCATGTAAACCTGTGTTGAGCTCCCTCCAGAGCCAAAACATCTTTTCTAAGGTGTGGGGCCCACATCTGCTCACAGTACCGTAAAGTGGGGTCTAACTATGTTCTGAGGAAGGGTCACTGGACTCGAAACGTTAAGTCTGATTTTTTCTTCACAGATGCTGCCAGACCTGCTGAGCTTTTCCAGCTTCTGTTTGTGTTGGGGTTTAACTATGGTTTTGTATAACTGCAGCATAACCTTTGCATCCCTATACTCGAGTCCTTTAGCTATGAAGGCGTGATTCCATTCGCATTCTTGACTATTTGCTGCACCTATTCATGGCATTTTAAAGAGCTATGCACCTGAACCCCCAAATCTTGTTGGGCATCACTGTACTTAACATTGTTCCTTCCAAAAAAAATCCTGATCTATCATTTCTCAGTCCGAAATGGATAACTTCACCCTTGCTTATATTAAAATCCATCTGCCACGGCTTTGCCCATTCACCTAATCTGTCCATATCCTGATGTAATTTTAGGCTGTCATCAAGACCTATGCTACCCAATTTTGTGTCTTCAGCAAATTTGGATACTTGACTATTTATCCCATCTTCCAAATCAATAATGAATATTGTGAATAATTGAGGCCACAACACAGATTCCTATGGGACACCTTAAGTCACTTCCTGCCAGTTTGAATACTTACCCATTATTCCAGCTCTGTTTCCTGTCACTCAACCAATTTCCTATCCACGTTAGGAATTTACCCTTCATTCTGTTGGCTTCCACTTAGCCAAGTCTCTTGTTTGGGACTTCATCAAAAGCCTTCTAGAAGTCCATATAAAAATAATCTATTCACTTACCTCTGTCTACTGCTTTTGTCACATCTTCAAAAAACTGAGGTTTGTCAAGCATGACCTACCCTTCATGAGTCTGTGCTGTCTCTCCCTGATTAACTGAAAATTTTCAAGGTAGTCAGTTACTCTATCCTTGATTATAGACTCCAACGACTTCCCCACCACAAATGTTAGGCTAAATGGTCTGTAATTCCCTGGTTTCCACCTGTCTTCCTTCTTAAACAGGAGAGTGACATAAGCAAATTTCCATTCCAGAAGTACAACCCCTGAATCCTTTGCACATTCTCCCCATGTGTGTGGGTTTCCTCCCAAAGTCCAAAGATGTGCAGGTTAGGTGGATTGGCCATGGGAAATGCAGGGTTACAGAGATGGGGTGGGTCTAGGTGGGAGCATTGATGAGAATGCATCTGGAGTATTCGATACAGTATTGGTCTCCTTATTTGAGGAAGGATGTAAAAGTGTTGGAAATAGTTCAAAAGAAAGTTTACCAGACTGATACCTAGAATGGGTGGGTTGTCTTATGAAGAAAGATTGGACAGGTTTGCAAGAAATGGAGTTTAGAAGAGTGAAAGGCAACTTGATGAAAACAATACAAGATCATGAGGGGTCTAGAGAGGATGCAGGTGGAAAATATGTTTCCTGTTGTGGAGAATCTAAAACTAGGGGTCATTGTTTAAATATAAGGGGTCACCCATTTAGGATAGAGATAAGGAGAGACTTTTTAAAAATACTCTTTTTTAAAAGACAGTGGAAGCGAAGTCTTTGATTATTTTAAGGCAATGGTTGATAGATTTTAGAAAAACAAGGTAGGGGGAGGTGCAGTGATGAAAGGTTATTGGCATAGAGTAAAAATATGGAGGAATCAGATCAGCCATGATTTTAGTGAATGGCAGAGTAGTTGGCCTACTCCTGCACGAGTTCCTATATTTATAAGCAGGTGATGGGAAGGCAGCAATGCTACATGCAATAAATAGCAGGAAGGTACATCAGGTCATTAAAAAGCTCTAAATCAAATCTGCATACTGCTGACTTGAATTCAATGCAGCCATTTGAATTAATTGAGCAGAGGCTCTTGCGGTGCAGTGGTAATATCCCCACATTTGCGTCAGTGGGCCTGGGTTAAGTCCCACCTGTTCGAGAGGCGTGTAATAACATCTCTGAACAGATTGATTAGAAAATAGGTAAATTAAATGAGCAGTGTCTGTGTATTCCATGTTGCTAGAAACCTGACCATTAAAAGATGGTGATTTGGCAGCAAGATCCCTGACTATGGTTGGACTATTAGGCAAAGTGAACCTGCCTTACATTGCATTTCAGTCTTTATTCAAAAGGAGCTAGTCTCCACTATAGTGCCATCAAGGTTCGCAGGTCTGGCTCACATCCACCATATCTCACCCTTTCTCTGAACTTGTGGCTTTTAATGTCTTGCAGACAGCAGTGCGATGTCAATTTTCAGACATTTATCAACTGGTCTCTTCCTTGCCTGACAGTACTTACGGTGGGTGTTTCTCTCATACATTCTCTGATATGGAATGTGGAGGACTCTGTTATTGAGAGGCAGGTGCCCAACACCCATGTGACACAAATCCATGGTACAGTTGCTGCTGCAGCATGCTACACATTTTCCATCCAGTCAATCTCTCTCTGTTAAGATTCTTACGTGTTGTCCACCTCGTAGCAACAGTGACCTCCTTCCAACATTGGTCACAGTTGTACCGCTGGACCCTACAGCTGCTGACTCCATTGCTACCTCTGTCCCAATCTTCTTGGTCAGAAGGGAGGTTGCCTTCTCATCAGTTGGGAACAAGACCTCCCCTTGGCCCCAAGACACCTGCAGAATAACCTACAGGAAAGGTTTGCTGAAATCTATGGTCATCCTTTGTCTGGTCCATGCCATTCTGCAGCTCCCAGCTTCTTGTCACGCTCTGTCTCAACTGAAGGCTGTAGATACTGAGAATGCGGGATGCTGGTGTAGACACTACAGTATGAAAATATTCCCTGTTATGGACCACACTAAACCTCTGCAAAACATATCAAGGAGACAGTCGGGATCCTAACTTTTATCTTATTTAAAGGCAAGTGTACAGCGTTGTGTTCCAGATGTGATTCAATTGGTCAAACAAACAACTAGGCTTTAAGTAAAACAGACTTTATTCTTAAACCACAGTTAAATTACAAACAAAAAAGAAAGAACTGGCATATCTAACTATAAAAAGACTTACTAAAATAATGCATTATTACTCTTCATTAACTGTTCCAATATAGCAGCATCCCATAAACACACCCTGGGAAAAGACAAATTCAGCTAAACAGATTTCTCTCACTTGCTATTTCTTCCATTCCAGGAAAACAAACACTGACAGAATGAACCTAGCAGCAAACAGAGAGTTCAGGTTTTTTGCAGCAGCAGAGAAACAGCTGTATCTAGCAGCTTCAAATCCAAAAATCCCAACTTCAACAACTGAAAGCAAAAACTAAAAGCCTGGATCTGCATGAGCCTGACTCTACTCACTCATGCTTCTTTTGTTTACTTTTTAAAAAATTCAAAGCTATTTACTCTACTTTCTATGGAGCAGATACCTCGGCACCAGGTTTACATCACCCTTCTTCAGTGGAAGCAGGACAGAATAAATCCCTCTTAAAGGCACATTTCATCACATCCCTCACATCTCTGCTGGCTTGAAGCTGAAAGCTGATGTTCTGAGTTTCCACAGTAACTCGTCTCAGCTACAGTAAGAGAGTAGTTTGAAAAGAAACAGCCCAAGTAGGTCTGGCTAATGTTTAAAAATGGCAGCAGGACTTGTAATTTCTGCTTTCGTTTCTGCACTCCCACCAATCACTTGATTGAATGGGCCTTGCAAATCTGCTTCATTAATTGGCTGTCTAACATATAATTTGTTCAGTCAGCTACTTCTGCCTTAAACAATGCTGCCCACTTCTAGATCTGGCACCAGAACCGCATCACCTACATTACATTTCCAGGCTGCCCAACAAGATGCAAATTTAGAACAATTTGCTCTCGTTAAAGATTGTCTGTGATTACACTTTTATGATATACCATCTGAAATAATGGATTAAACAATGCAGCACATGAAAATTAGTCAGTTCAGAGTCAAGATGAATTCATGACAATTATAATCAGTTACTCACACAAGTTGCTGCTGTAATATTCCCATAGCAGTTAGTGCCTCAAATGCCTTCTTTGACTTGGGGTTTTTCGGAACAACAGCTTCGATACCAGTCTGCAATCAAATTACAGTATTAAGCAAATAGGAGATAGCTTCAAGACATTGAGGGCTAAACATAAAGTGTTAGACTAATATTAGTTAGGTGCATTTTTGTACAACATGAAGTGAAGTCTGACTCTCTACACAGCCTGCATGCAATCAGGAGCAGGCTGATCTTGTTTTCTCTAGTGTTTATTAGTCAAGTATACAAGAGTCACAGAACCAAGGCAAGCACATAAAAAAAGTTGCCATAGGCCCAGGGAATCATAGGGCTGCTCTTTCATTAGAAAGAGAGACAACTGTTTAACCCAAGGGTCACCATGCCTCAGGTGAGGGGTGAGCTTGAGAAGGCAGGATATTCATGATAACTTCAGCCAGTATGGAAAATGAACCCAAGTTTTTGGCATCACTCTGTATTGCAAACCAGCCATTTAGCCAAATGAGTTCACTGACCAAGCATACTGAGTTTCTTCAACTGTGTAGAAGCTTGGTTAGACTGCACCTGGAGTAGTGTGCACAGTTTTGGTCTCTTTATTTCATTACCGTAGAAGTAATGCAACAAAGGTTCATCAGACTTGTTTCTGGCTGGAGGCACTATCCTATGAACAGAGATTTGGCAAACTAGGCCCGTATTCTCTAAAGTTTCAATGAATGAGAGGTAATCTCGTTGAAACTTACAAAATACTTAAAGGAATAGACAGGTAAGATGTTCCCCTGGTTTTGGAGTCTAGAACCAGGGGATACAATTTAAAAATAAGGGGGAAACCACTTGGGTCCAAGATGAGGGCAACTTTTTTTTTTAAACTTTTGGTGTTGTGAACCTTTGGAATACTCTAACATAGAGGGCTGCGGAGGCTCAGTCTTTGAGCATGTTTAAGGTAGAGATTGATAGATTTCTGTGTGCCACTGGAAAACAGAAGTATGGGGATTGACTGTGTAGAAGGCATTAAAGTGTTTGATCAGCCGCAAATGTAATGACTGGCAGGGTAGATTCCATGGGCTGCACAGCCTACTCCTGCTCTTATGTTAAGATACAGATCAGCCATGATCAAAATGAAAGTTGGAACAAGCTGGAGAGTTGAATGCCCTACTCCTATCATTAGCTTATGGACATTAATATAAATTGCACCACAGAATTCTGGCTGAGATCGGCTCAGTCAAAGAGAAAACTAAAACCTGCTTAGTATACACTGCTTAGTTCTGCATTATGCAGAACTGGCATTTTAGAAACATGATCAGAGTGAATAGTAATGTTTAAATCCTGACCTTTAACATAGAAACAGGAGTTTCTTTCAGGTCTCTTTCATGAATGTTGGTATCATCACCGATAAATTTCAGGATGGATTTTTCATGACTGTGAACTAATTGACCTTCATCCATTCCAGGACTTTGATCCTACACAAAGTGATTCAATTGTCAGAACTCAACAGTTGTTTGTCCTAAAATTTTCTTTATGGGCTAATCAAACAGGTGAGGCAATTGCAATAGATTAGTGACATGAAATACAGATTGGTAATGCCTTTTATTGTGCACTATGGACGCTGTTTGGTTTCCAAAATGACACTTGCAGTTCTTATGTTTACTTTTGGGGTGAATTGTGTCAAACATCATATTGGTGAGGTTGTCAGCAAGCAAACAGCGAATGGCTTCAGAACGTATACAGTGCAGGCAGCTTCATAACTTCATTAAACAATGCTGATTTAGTGTCAGCTATGCCATTTTGGAGATCAACACTACAGCTTAACTTAATTTTGCACAATGTACACCTACTCAGCACCAAGAAGGATCCACTAGCACCATCAGTGTTTTTAAATGGATCATTAACTGCCTGCAGTTTAGTTGCTAAATAATGTTCTTTTTCGTGTCTGTTGCTTTGATTCAAACTTATAGTAGATTAAATTTGCCAGCTGCTCATAAGCATGGGTGCAATAGTCACCATTCTCCATGGAATATAGCAAGGTTGAAGAATGAACAGAGGCCATGTTGACCAAGGCAAGTTTTTGGAAGAGGGAGGAGGGAGAGGTGGGGGCTGAAGGGTTCTTGGCAGGAGGCCACACCTACCCATTTTTTATAGGGACCTAAACCTCAGCAAGGAATAACGTATAGGACATCTACACTTCAATGAGCACATTCTCACTGAAATATGCCACTTGCTGCAGTTGTAATCGCAAACAATCATTGCCAGTGACTTTTTGTGAGAGTTTGGTCATGATGGTTTTGCATTTAGCTTCTTCAAGGAAGAATTGAAGATATTTATAACATCTCAGTTGGCTTCCACTGATGTTCCCTATTGCTGACAATTAACTACATTTCATTCTCTCTTGTCAGACAGAAGCAGGTGGATTGACCGCACAGCCTTTCAAGAATTCCAAGCTTCCAATGTACAACATGCTTGCAAGCTGCCATTCACTCTGCCCCATACTGTAACTGAAAGGGATTCACCACCTCAACATATGTGCAGCCAAAGCCAAAGATTCACGCAGCTCAATACTAGTGTCTTTCCAGTGGTCTTGATGTCTTCCCTCTGCAGAAGTCCACTGTGCTAGGTGCATCTGAGTTACCACAGCAAACTAAAGGTTGGCTACTGAACAATTAGAGCCATCAGTTGATTATATGCTGATGATTCCAGTGTAAAACCTACGTACACATATATGTGTACAATATGCATAAAATGAAAGCTGTTTTGCTACATAAATAAGATACAGCAGTCTAAAACAATGCTTTAGTTGACTAGACTGCTGGGGAGTGTGAGCTTCCAGACATCTGGTGGAATCTGCTTGTGCCACAATGGAAGCAGAGTCATTGGCCACCAGACACTGCATCATGGTTGGGTTCACAAATGTCCTGATAAAGCTGATCACCACTTTCATTCTCAACAAAGCCCTATGAAAATCAGGTCAGAACCAAAGACTTCGTCACATGCAACATTATTCCCCTCAGGCTTCAACTTTGAACAGTATTTAAAAAAAACTTACATCACTTTCATAAACTCAGCAGCCTCAATAGAAATCAATTAGCAATGAACTTGAACTTAATTGACAATTGCTTCAGATAGCACGTGTGGGATCTCCTTCCTGTTGCTGAATGCATTTCGTGCTGTGTGCGTTTAAGACAGGGCATTTGCTGGAACATTTGCGTCAAAAAAGTACATGACGTAAAATCAGTGCTACATTCTTCTTGACATCAGTTTCACTACTTTGCAAATACATGCCCTTAATAACAGTACTATTGCCCTCACCGCAATGGCTATTGCCATAAGTTACATTGGACTTGTGCGCAGAATGCACCAAAATCATTTTACATGCAAACCAGCACTGTAGGCAGCTAAAATGTAGACATTATGGAGCTGCATTTTTGAAGAATTATCTAAGACAGAAAGACATTGAAAAGAAAATGTTTACGGTTTTACATTACTTCAATATCTTTTGTTCCTTTGGTTCCACGTGGACTTCTTGATTTTGACAATGGTAAGCTTTCTTCAGTCACATTGGTATCACTGACAACGTGAACAGATTGCGTCTGAAGCAAGGAAATGTAGAATGGTTAATAACACAGCATTCTCATTAACTACCTGTCAAACATATAGCAACGAGGGACACAGAACAATAGACATAATTTTACAACAATTCTCCAGGGAACTTTTGTTGTATGAATTCAAGTTATGCATAAAATAATCTCCTTTCTACGGTAAATTTCCAGGTTGCTAACTGATCTACATAAACTCTTGTCTATATTAAACTTTCAAAAAGCATGACACTCCACTGCCATCTCATCTGATTCTGATTGTTTCAAAAGCCACTTCCTTTTAAGCTAATTATGGTGCTTGACTTAAATATTCTATTGCTAAAAAGCATAGCAAAAAACATTCAAGGGTCCTTGTACTACAGCGGTAGTGACTCTAACTCTGGACCAGAAGGTTCAGGTTTAAGTACCATCTTCCCCAGACACGTTCTAACATCTTCTGAAGAGGTTGACTAAAAGCACCTACCAAAGAACATATCATAATTCACTAGATAACTTGAAAATAACCACAAATAAATGTGACTGAACCATGAAATATTTTAAGAAAACCATTTGCAGCTAAAATTTCACTGGACAGCAAGAAATAATCTACAAACTAATCCAATCTCTTATTCATTTTCTAAAAAGAAAATTATTTTTGCCTACCCCAATTTAATATTGTAGATGCATAGGAATGACATAAGGGTGATCAAAGAAAGCTAAACCTACCCACAGAGTTAATACAAGCATAAAGCAAAATCTGAATCTGAAAACATAAATAAAGATTGTAGGCAGTATTTAATAGGTTTGTCAGTATCTAGAAGAAAGAACAGACAAATTATATTTCTAGGTTCAGAACTTTCAAAGGAATATAGAAAATTTACAGTTGAACAGTGTTAATAAAGTTTCCAAACACGTAACCTTTATGACCTAGAAAGATAAAGGAGCGCCACAATCTTCAAGTTTCCCTGCAAATTACACACCATCCTGACTTGGAACTATACAACCATTCCTTCACTGTGACTGGGTCAAAATCCTGGAACTCCCTCCCTATTAGCATGCGAGTGTACCATACCACATGGACTGCAGGGATTCAAGAAAGCAGCTCACCAACACCTTCAATCATGGACGGACAATAAATGCTGGTCTAGCTACCAATACTCATATCCTGTGTGTAGGAATAAGCGAGAGATCATGATGGGGTAAACAAAGGCACACATCTACAAGAAAAGAAACAGCATGCCTGTAAAGTATTTAAATGAAAAACATGACCCAGCTAAGTGACATACTGTGAAACAACAGTAAGAACATGAGCAGAAAATGGAAGTTGAGATTGATTGCGAATCCCAAACTACTCCAGAGGAGAAACAGAAATGCGCCCAGATTTTCACTGAGTGACCCTTTAATTGGTACAGAGATGAATTTGTCAGTCAATTAGCAGCAGTGGGTGATAGAAACATAGCCAACCCAAGGGTAGGCATGTCTTAATCTCACTATTGCAACCATCACAGTGGAAGTGAAGAGTCACGGCAAACTTTGGATTGGATTCCTCATTTCAATGACATCAGAAGAGCTAGAGGAACACAGCACAGCCTCTTGTTTTTCAGATGCTGACCTGGATGTGATCTGATGGCAATTGAAGAGGGAAAGTTGGTTCTTTTCCAGTAAAATAGCAGGAGGAGGCCACTCACACAGACCAAACCTGCTTGGGTAGAAATCACTGCCACCAGAAGCAACAAAAGTATGAGAACGAAGAGGATCCAATGTAATGACCTCATACACTCTTGCAAAATGAGGACTATCAATAGGTCTTTGCATATTCACCTTCCAGCAGATGCACAAGAAGCGCAAGGCCTACAGAACAGACAAGGGAAACAGGACAGGCCCAGCTGAATGCCTGTTTACTATGATGCTACAGAATCTGTGTCATGTGCCCTGGCTATGCATGAGATGGAGTGAACAAGTGCTAATTAGGGCTGAGAGTGGCCAGAAACAAAAAGGTCTTAGATATTTTTGTAACACAGAATCAAATAAATAAAGCACATTTAATGATCTGTAGTGAAATACAAGTCTTTTAGGCCACTTCAAAAGTGTGTAATTATTAGGTTTCAAGTGGTTGGAAATAATTGTTTCCCCTTGGTTTACCATTTATCACTATCAGAATTCAGTATAAATCACTGAACTGACATTCAATGCAGTTGTGCATGTAAAATTCCCTGATTCCAAGAAAAAGGAGCAACAAAATAGTATAGTATAGTACAGTATAAATATTAAACTTTGCGCAGACAGAATGTGAAAATTGGCCTTTTTGTATGCAGCAAGTGGTAATGACAAGGGTGATAGAAATGGAAGCAATTAATGATTTGAAAATGAAAGTGGATGCACACTTTGAGGGAGATAAATGTATTGGGCTATGAGTATTCAGAGGACTGACTGTTCCATGGCAATTTGGCATGAACTTAGTGGGCCAAATGTCCTCGCTCTGTGTTGCAAATGACTATGGCTATTTTAGATCAATACATAATAACATCATTTAAATATGAAAATGTGGACTTTTAAAATATTTTGTAAAAATGCTAATATTTTATTTCCTTATGCAGGTTTCAGCTAAGCTTTCCATATTCCCTGCTGACAGAAAGTTCAGTCAAGCCTCTCTCTACCTGCCCTTTACTCAGCCTCATCTCGCCCCACACACAAATGCAAATCTACTCTTCTCTTTCACCCCTCAAAGAAATGCCCCTCTTCCCAACCTTACTTTCCACTACTCAATCAATCTGCAACCCCTCTTCCCAAACACCTCTCTCAATCACTCATCCAGCAGCCCCCATTCCTGGGCTCCAATTCCCACTCACATTCATTTAGCAGCTTGGCCTTTCTAACATCCTTACAGAAAGACCCAAACAATCCCAAGCTAACTCATGAGTAATATATTGTGGAATGCACCTGGTATATGGTATTGTTTGTGAGTTTTAACATTGTCAGATTCTCAAACTGTACCTCTTATGCTGCATTGTTCATGGAGGTACTGTAGACACCATTCAGTGTGATCACTACCTTGATCCAGGGAGGTATTTTATAGTGCCAAACAAGACATCCAACTGCTCATTCACCTCATGCAGTGGAACACCCACCTTGCTAGCATACCAGTTAGGCAATCACCAAGATATTATACACTGTGCAAAGTAGGCATTACCGTCAATCTCAGCAAGCCTTTTCACTCCCTCTATTACATATTATTAAAATTTAAGACAAACTTACTCCAGACTCAGATTTGTCAATCTTGCTCAATTTCTGTAAGATATGAAGAGAGGAGGAGGAGGAGGAGGAGGAGTAGAATAATTTCATTAGTTGTTACAGTATAAAAACCAACAACCAGACAAGACAAATAATAATTAGTAACATTTTTTCGTTGTGTATTATTTCAAGCTAACAGCAGTATATGAAAAGGAATTTTTCCTGCACAGCAAGTTTCATGCAACTTTTTTTCAAACATAATTACGTTGTTTAGCAGATGGAAAAAAGAATGCACAGCAGTTAGGCACTTTACAACCACAATGACCACGTCCTTTACAATATCTGGATGAGGTCTCAGAATAGATCTCCAGCTTCTCATATATATGTTGAATTTGCCACCTATAAAATCATTTCCTTTCAGTCTGACTTAAGAAGATAAGAAATACAAGCAGGGGTGGGCCATATTCCCCTTGAACCTGCTCTGTCAGTTCAATATGATCATGGCTCAACTTTGACACCAACTCCTTACATTTGTCTTATGCTAAAAAGTTCCCTAATCTCCATAGGGCTAAACATTTTAGTCTTGAACTCAATGAGCATCCACAACTGCTGGAGTAGAGAATTCCAAAACGTTACAACCCTCCAAATGAAGAGTGTTCTCCCCATCTACTACCTACTTCAGTATCCACTTTGCCCAGTACATTTATTTTGCAAGATCGTCTCGGATCCTTCTAAAATCTCAAGAATGTAAGACTGTTTTGTTTGTTCTCATATATAGGACACCGTCCATTCAATCTACCAGTCTCATAAACAACTGCTGTACCTTCACAGCCACCACCCCTAATAAGTCATGCACATCTGTCTTGCGGCAGGAGAGCAAAACAGTATATAGTACTCCACCTGCAGTCTCAACAAAGCCTTACATAATTACAACAAGACTTTCTTATATTTATATTCCAAACCCTGAGCAATAAAGGCCAATATACCATTGATTGTACTGACACGATTAACCTTCTTTGAATTGTGTACGAGGACCCCCACATACTCTTGTGCCTCACATCTTCTAAAAAACCTGCTTTCCAATTGTCCTATCAAAACTTCACACTTCCCCACATTATTTTCCATCGACCATCTTCTGGTCAATCATACATCTGACCTAAAATCCTTTGCAAACTCATCACAGATTACCTCTCCAGCCAGCTTTGCACGGTCAGTGAACTCTTATTTAACCCTAAATAAAATTGAGTGCTGAAAAAGCTCAGCAGCTCTGGCAGCATCTGCGGAAAGAAATCAGAGTTAGCATTTCAGGTCAAGTGACCCTTCCTCAGAACTCATTTCATCAGAACTTATTTAACCCTCACTGGCAAAGGAGGATTAATTTGAAAACTCCAAAAGTAAGGACTGTGACGTGAATTAACATCCTTATCTTGTTTTTGTTGTGCTACCTGCTAATTAACATTGTCACATCTGGCCAAGACTGAGCATGTTGTTGGTTGGATGAATGCTTCAGCAGGAGTTGAAATTGAAAGAGCTTAGCATGACTAAAAGCTAACTTGCATCACTTAAGGCCAGCCTGTAGCCTGAGAGGGGAGGGCTAGATATTAGACTGCTGGAAAATGAAGCTGGCGTAGTAGTAATGGGGAACAAAGAAATGGCAGAGGAACTGAATAGGTACTTTGCATCAGTTTTCACAGTGGAAGACACCAACAACACACCAGAACTTCAACAGAGTCAGGGAGCAGTGGTGAATAAATACGTGGCCATCACTAAGGAAAAGGTGCTGGGGAATCTGAAAGGTCTGAAGTTGGATAAATCATGCGGACCAGTTGGACCACACCCCAAAGCTCTGAAGGAGATAGCTAAGGAGATTGTAGAAGCATTGGTGGTGATCTTTCAGGAATCACTGGAGTCAGGGAGGGTCACAGAGGACTGGAAAGTGGTTAATGTAACATCCCTGTTTAAGAGAGACAGGAAGCTATACGGCTAGTTAGCCTGACCTTGATCGTTGGTGAGATTTTAAGAGTCCATTATTAAGAATGAGCTTAGGGAGTACTTGGAAGTGTACAGTAAAATAGGGCCAAGTCAGCACTTCTTTATCAAGGGGACGTCATACTTGACAAGCCTGTTATAATTCTTTGAGGAGATAACGATCAAGTTAGACAGAGGAGAGCCGGTGGATGTGATGCAGTTGGATTTCCGGAAGGCCTCTGACAAGGTGCCACACCGGAGGCTGTAAATAAGATAAAAGCCCATGGGTGTTAGGAGCAAGTACTCGCATAGATAGAGGCTTTGCTGACTGGCAGAAGGCAGAGAATGGGGATAAAGGGGTCTTCTTCAGGATGGCAGCTGGTGACTAGTGGCATTCCCCAGAAGTCAGTGTTGGGACCACAACTATTCACATTATACATTAATGATCTGGGCGAAGGAACTGAGGGCATTGTTCCTAAATTTGCAGATGACACAAAGATATGTAGAGGGACACTCAACGTCGCAGAGGTTAGTGTCAATGAAGCAACATACCAGAGTAGGGGAGTCCAAAACTAGAGGAAGGGTCACGGGACCCAAAACGTTGACTCTGTTTTCTCCTTCACAGATGCTGCCAGACCTGCTGAGCTTTTCCAGCAACTTTGTTTTTGTTCCAAAACTAGAGGGCATTGGTTTAAAGTGAGAAGGGAAAGATCTAAAAGGGATCTCAGGGGCAATTTTTTCACACTGAGGATGATACGTCTATGGAATGAGCTGCCAGAGGAAGTGGTAGCAGCAAAAACAATTATAGCATTTAAAAGACATTTGGAAATCTGGTTGCCATAGACAAATTGGGTGGAAGGACCTGTTACTGTGCTGTATACTTCTCTGCCTCTATAATGTGTGTATTCTTTCTCTCAAAGCCCGGAGTTTCGATAGATTTCCAGGGAGGGAACAGAAGGAGAGAGTCAGAGAGAGAGAGAGAGAGGGAGAGAGAGAGCGAGAGCGCGAGAGAGAGAGAGCGTGAGAGAGAGCGCGAGCGCGAGAGAGAGCGAGAGCGCGAGAGAGAGCGAGAGCGCGAGCGTGTGTGTGTGTGTGTGTGTGTGTGTGTGTGTGTGTGTGTGTGTGTGTCAGCTCGCAGAGTCAGAGTCACATGCACAGAGACACGTTTACTCATTCTCATACAGACCCATTCTCTTTTCTCTCACACACGCTGATTCATTCATTTACATGTGTTCAGACTCACTCTCAGACCCACAAGATGGAATTTTCTGCCACCCTGGAGTGCTAAGACCGTAATATACAGGACTAGAATTACATCATTCAGCCCATCAAATCTGTTCTGCCATTCAATCATAGCTGATATGTTTCTCATCCCCATTTTCCTGCCTTTTCTTGACAGGATTGATCTCCTTACAAATCAAGAACCAATCTATCTATCTCTTAAATACACTCAATGACTTGGCCTCAATAGACCTCTGAGGCAATGAGTTCCAGAGATTCACAGCCAGCTGGCTGAAAAAAATTCCTCCTCATCTTAGTTCTAAGAGGTCGACTCTTCACCCTGAGGCTGTGTCCCTGGGTCCTAGTCTCTCCTGTAGTGGAAACATCTTCTCCACTTACACTCTACCCAAGCCTCTCAGTATCTTGTCGATTTCAATCGGATTCCCTCTCATGCTTCTAAGCTACATTGAGTACGGACTGAGAGTTTTCAACTGCTCCTCATATGACAAGTCCTTTATCCCGGGATCATTCTTGTAAACCTCCTATGGACCTGTACATCTTTCCTCAGATATGTGGCCCAAAACTGCTCACAATATTCAAAATGTGGTCTGACCAGAGTCTTGTACAGCCTCAACAGTATATTTCTGTTCTTGTTTTCTAGCCCTCTTGAAATGAATGGTAACATTGCATTTGCCTTCCTAGCCACTATATGAACCTGCATGTTAACCTTAAGAGAATCCTGAACTAGGATGCCTAAGTCCCTTTGTATTTTGTATTTCCAAAGCAATTCCCTGCTTAGAAAATAGTCTACGCCTCTATTGTTCCTATCAAGTGCATAACCTCACACTTGCCCACATTGTATTCCAATTGTGACTTCTTTGTCCACTTACCTAGCATGTCCAAGTCCTTCTGCAGAGTTATACCAAGCTGCTTCCAATTCCTACTCCCAATGAATTCCACGAATTCATTCAGGACTTAAAGAAGAGGAACAAAAAGCTTTTGAAGTGTTTGAAGCAGGATTACTTTTTGAAATTTCGGTCTAATTATTACTGGTTTTGAGGGAAAAACAAAGGTAACCACCAGAATTTGTTATTGGTTACTTCAGTAGCTCAAGACACAAGATCCTAAATTTGAGTTTGCCAGTCTCAACTGATCTGGTAGTCAAGGTACCACAAATGACAGGCATGACAGAGCTTTTTTTCCTAACTCAGTTGCAAAGCAGAGTATAGGACACAAGGTTGTATTTACTCCATTGTTTTAATGATTGCTGACATTTCATTGATACCAAACAGAAAATCTTCAATGAGGGCAATTAACACCAACTAACATACTCCAACAACTGCTGTCAACGCCAAGACAGAGAAGAGATAGTCAAAGGAGGAAAGAGTAGAATAAAAAGTTTTAATTCCATTCTGATCCACTAAACCACTTCCTATGCAAAGTATGCATGGGTATCAGTGAGTACAAGCCCAAATGTAGTTATGTTATGTCACTGTTGCTGCCTCATCCCCATGCAGCCCTCCACCTTTATTAAAACTTGATGACCCATGGATAAAACTTACAAATTTGTGTAATGGACCAGAGTAGTTCAACAATATAATTCCACATTTGCTGTAGGCTTACCAGAACATGTAGCTGCTCTCTAACAGAGACACATTACTGGTGATGATTTAACCCGAGGTTCACCATGTCTCAGGTGAGGGGAGCGGTTGAAAAGAAGAGTCCTTTTTGGTAACATATTGGCAAACCTGAGAATTTAGAGAACTCTTTTGGCACACATAAATGTACACTGCTTCAAAATATATAGAATAGCATTCCGTTTGCAATGGCACTGTGGAACACTCCATTAACAATATTTTTAAAAATAATCTTAGAGCTAGTAAGTAGTTAGTGAATATCTTTTCTACTAAAACAGTAACTCAAGAAAAAGCACGTTACTTGATTTTACCTGGAATGATGCGATGGTTCTTGGTCCATCATCAGTTTCTGTTTCTCCTGGTATTAGCAAAGATAGATCAGAATCAGCCATCCCAAGCATTTTGGTGGCTGAGCCCTGAAATGCAAGGGAAAAATGAGGAATAATCTTATGACAATCACACTTGAAAAACTATGCAGCACAGTATAACATTAAAACAACAATAGGTGAACTTCTCCCAGATATATGATAAATACAAAGTTGACAGCCAGAGCATGAAGGGAAAAATGTATTAAAAATCACTGAATGAATAATTTGGGTTTTTGATATTTTCTGGTTTTAATTCTTCTGTCTAAATTAGTAAAGGAAAATACATCTGAGTACTTATACAGGAATTAGGGAAGAAATTCAGAGATGTATATATTAAGAGAAAATTGTCGTATGCTTTGCGATAGTAAGATGACGTGGACGCCAAAGGTATCTATTCAGAAACAATTTATGGCAAGTACATCAGTGATGTTTAGATAAAGTAAGAAAGATTTGTTCTTAATGAGTTTCATGACTTAAGTGTTTCAAAGCACATTTGGAACAGAATAGCACAGACATTTAATAATACTGAACTTTCTTTCCAGCAATTAAAATCTAGATCAAATTTATTGCACAGAAGTTGTCCTGTTGGCAATTGTAATAGTCCAAAATAAGAAGCATTTGGAGCAGTTTCAGCTCAATATGAATTTAGAATAAAAATGGCAATTTACCAATTTTGATGCCTGAAAGGAGTGGTTTGTCCCATGAGGGAATATTAGGCACACTGGGCTTGTTTTCACTGAAGTTCCATAAGGCCATAAAACATAGGAGATCCGTGATACCCTAACGAATCAAGAATTTATCTATCTCTATCCTAAATACATTCAATGACTTGGCCTCCACAGGCTTCTTTGGCAATGAGTTCCACAGAGTCACTATTCTTTGACTGAAGAAAGTTCTCCTCATCTCAGTTGTAAACGTCTGTCTCTTCACTGTGAGGCTGTGTCCCTATTCTGTAAGCATCAATGAGATCTCCCCTCATCCTTCTAAACTCCATCTTCAACAGACCCAGAATCCTCAACTGCTCCTCATATGACAAGCCCTTCATCCTCGAGATGATTCTTATAAAATCCCTCCAATGCCAGCATGTCTTTCCCTAGATACAGGACCCAAAACTGCTCACAATATTACAAATGCGATCTGACCGGACCCTTACACAGCCTCAGCAGTACATTTCTGATCTGGTATTCTAGCCCTCTTGAAATGAATACTAACATTGCATTTGCCTTCGTAACCACCAACTGAGCCTACATGTTAACCTTAGGAGTCATAGTTTACGATTCTCTTAAGTCCCTTTGTACTTCAGATTTCCGAGGCTGTTCCCCATTTAGAAAATATTCTATACCTGTATTATTCCTGTCAAAGTGCATAACCTCACTGTATTCCATCTGACACTTCTTTGACCATTCTCCTACCCTATCCAATTCCTTGTGCAGCCTCCCTGCTTCCTCAACACTATCTGTCCATCCACCTATATTTATCGCATTAGCAAACACAGCAACAAGGCCCTCAGTTCCTTCAGCCAGTTTCTTAACGTATGATGTGAATAGCTCTGGTGCCAAAATGGAATCCTGTGGAACTCGATTAGTCACTGCCTGTCATCCTGAAAAAGACTGCCTTTATCCCTACTCTGCCTTCTATCAATCAGTCAATCCTCTATCCATGCCAGTACCTTGTCCCTAGTACAACAGACATTTATCTTACTTAGCAGCCTCCTTGTCAAAGACTTTCTGGAAATCCAACTAGATCACATCCACTGGCTCTCTCTTGTCTAACTTGCTCATTCTGTCCTCTAACAAATTTGTCAAGTATGACCTCCCCTTGATGACGCTGTGCTGACTCAGCCATGTTTTACCATGCACTTCCAAGTACTCCCCAATCTCATCCTGAATATTCTAAAATCTTACGAACAACTGAGGTCAGGTTAACTGGCCTATTAGTTTCTGTCTTCTTCCCTCTCTCTCTCCCCTTAAACGGGAGTGTTACATGAGCCATTTTCCAGTCCTCTGGAGCCCTCCGTGCCTCCAGGGATTCCTGGAAGATCACCACCAATGCCTCTACAATCTCCTCAGCTATCTCCTCCAGAACTCTGGGGTGTAGTCCATCTGGTCTAGGTGATTTATCCATCTTCAGACCTATCAGCTTCCCCAGTGCCTTCTCCTTCGAGGTAGCCACTGCACTCATCTCTACCCTCGGACTCTCTTGAAGTTCTGGTATGCCGCTGGTGTCTTCCACTGTGAAAACTGTTGCAAAGTACGGATTCATTTCCTCTGCCAATTCTTTGTTCTCCAGTCTCAGTTTCCAGCAGTCCAATTTCCACTCTTGACTCTCTTACTTTTTAGATAGTGAAAAATTCTTGCAATTTTTTTTATAGTACTAGGTAGCTTACTCTCATATTTCATATTCTACCCCCTTATTGCTTTTATAATTATCCTTTACTAGGTTTTTATTGTCTTTTCAATCCTCAGGCTTCTCACTAATCTTCTCCACACTGCATGCTTTTTCTTCTTCTCTTATGCTGTCTCTGACTTCCCCTGTCAGCCAAGGATGATTCATCTTACCTTTATTTTGTTTCTTCTTCCTCGGGATAAATTTCTGCTGTGCCGCCTGAATTACCCCCAGAAACTCTTGCTATTACTGCGTTACCATCTTCCCTGCTAGGCCTTCCTTCTAATGACCTCTGGCAAGTTTTCCCTCATGTCTTTTCAGTTACCTTTACTCAATTATGATACCGTTACATCTGATTTCAGCTTCTCCCTCTCAAACTTCAAGGTGAATTTGATCATATTACGGTCACTGTCCCCGAGGGGTTCCGTCACCTAACCAAATCTGTCCCATTACACGTCAGTTTAGAAGAATGAAAGTTATTTGATTCAAGTGTATAAGATCCTGAACAGTCTTAACAAGGTGCACGTCAACGTGGTGCGAATCAGATGGAACAATAGATGAGAGTTTCGGTACAATTGTTTTTAAGATAGCCTGACTCCTAGCGTCAGCTCAATCAATAGGGAAATTACAATATCAAGCTTGCTCTTTCTCCATGAATGCGGCCTGACCCACTGTGATCTTCAGCATTTGATGTTTTTATTACAATGTCAAATACTGCTTTTTCAACACCTTTTCCTTGGACAGAAAACTCACATGGAATAATTCAATTATGTTAATGGCATTGCTGTATCAAATTGCTGTAACTACATGGAGATATCTGCATGGCAATTACCATGCTGACAAAGTAAACAATACTAAGCTACTGCACTTGGGGATTATCTGGAGAACTGGATTTAAAGGACCCCCTCGAATCAGAGGGCCTGACTTTCCAGAGACAACGTCGGCACAAGAAGCAGGAATCTTGAGAGCTTCAACCTCAATTTGGCCAGTGTGAGAACATAGCACTTTAAAAACGGTCAGTTACTCAGGAAATTAGAGCTAAAGACGGATTTCATAGAATTGCATGCATATATCTTCTGTTTCAATGATAATAAATAATGTCTCATAGTGAACCATGTCTCAGTACTGGTATAAAATAAGTTCCAATAAGCAAGTCGATCAGAAACACATGTAAACAAAGCTTACACGTACAACCTCATGTGTTTTAATTTTGTTTACTAATCCCTTGTGTGGGACATTGTCAAAAGCATTCTGAAAGTCCAAACACACCCCATCCACTAGCTCCCCCTTATCAACTCTAACATGCAAAGCTGTGCAGATTAAACAGGAAAGTAGAATTGACTGCTTCGCTGGGAGCCAGCATGGATTCGATAGGCTAAATGATTTCCTTCTGGGCCACAAACTATTCCATCACACAGTTTCAGATCAACATATAATAAATAATGTCTGATAAATATGAAAATCTGTTAAATAAAATAGCATTAAGTTGAATCACACAAGGTTCACCCTAAAGTCCATTTAAAGTGGAGCTTTGAAATAAATGAGATTAGCTATGAAACTTAATATGCATTATGTCAAAAAATATTTTGAACAGTGGTTCTCTGAATATGTGAAAAACGTCTTGATATTTCAATCCAATCACACCACACAATGGCCTGATCTTGTACAGTAAGAGGCATTAAGAAGCATTAAGAAGCAATGGGAGATAGCTCTGGAAAAATCCAGTAATCTTTTTCTGTCTAGCATGCTATCTTAAGACCCTGCCATGTTTCAATACAGTCAAATAGGGTGTTCTTTGTATTTTCAAACTGAAGCACAAAACATGGAGCATCTCCAAGGTCTTTGCAGTTTCAGCCATGGAAACAGGAGTGTGCATGGGTGGGCTTGTATTAGACTTTCAGAGTCATCGCCATGAAAATCTGCCTTTTCTTCCACTTTGATGTATTTTGTTCACTTTTTCTCCAAAGTATAAAAGTCATCCAGGTGGTTTTGTGAGACCCATACTAAAGGTGGTCGTCATTTAATGTTGGACCACTTATCGTTATTTCAATTTCATACAGTTTATATCTTGTGGCCTGCTTTTTCATCGCATTTCTTCACTTTGCATCACATTTTTCATTTTATCATTGTGGTGTGTGTTGTCAGTGTCTGTGCCATCACCAAATCAGTGCCCAAAACAGCACTGCTCACATCCCAGGCACTCTCTCCTTTTCTCCTGGCCATGGGAAAGGGATGTTGCCTCCCTCTAGGCCTCATGGAAAAGAGATGTTGCCTTCCTCTTGGTCTCATTTCCCAACTTTGTCTTCTGCTTGCTCCATCTGAGTTTTGTCTCTTGCTTCCTCCATCCCAGCTTCGTCATGCCCTGACCTTGACTCCCTATGGTGCTTTGCTGCAGCCTTGTTCCTCCTGAGTCCTCCTGTTCTTACCTTTAGTCTTCAGATCTGGTTTCCCTCCTGGGTCCTCACTTCCCTCCTGAATTTGAGTGGAGGTCGTAGGCTCTATCTAGTGGCAGAAGTCAGTCAATGCAGCTGGGAGCTGCACAAACCAATATCTGCCACTAGGTGGAGCCTGATCATTCTAACTACTGTAGAATACTGCTTTTTTTGAAAAAATATTTTAACAGTTATTTCATTTACCAATGTAGGAATTTAGCCATCTAAAGTACAGGTGGTACTTTATTTCAACTTAGAGGCTACATAATCAATTGTTAATGTTTTGTTTCTGGTAAGGAAAACCTTAAGGTAACTAATATTAGCTTTAATATTGATTCCTAAGAGAATTGATGCTTCACTTAAAAGTTTTTTCACTTGAAGTCACGATTTTCGAAATGAGTCCCTATTTTAAGTGACTACTAAGCATGTGGGTAGTACTTTGTAAGTGTGTGAAGACGATGTGGCTTCTTAGACTCTCCTATACAAGAAGCAGCAGTTTTTCAATGTTACCCATGTTGGCACAGACTATGCACGTGACGTGCTCTTTGCTTGGTTTTCACCATTACATACGTCATCTTTAAACACTAAAGACAACAAAACAGTCCACTTTCATCTGTGCTAAAAATGTTTCTTGGTGCATGCTCATTCAGGATGTGTTGGTAGACCAAAACTTCAGCTTATCACAAACATCCTTCTATGGGTTTCTTATTTCACAAGTGGAAATGGATGACAATGTTACGACAACCAGAGTTTCGGGCTAATCAAATTTGAATTTCGCAATTTCACTGTTTTTCATTTTCCTTGTAAGGTTGTCATTATGTTATGTACTCGTATAGATTTCAACCAATCTCTCCATTTTTCTGGTGAGAGAAGACTCATTGAAGTTTCATTCCCCTTGTCCCCTCATCTCATATACATCTTACCAACAATTCTAACCCACTCCACACGCAAATGCACAACACTCTTTCTATCAGCCTCCCTCTCACACAGCAGCTGCTCTTACCAACTCCACTCACTGTCTCAGTAGCACCTCTTCCCCAGCCACTCACTGGAAATCCCTTTTCACAACCTCTACTCCCCCAACCACTGAATTTGATTGTGTCGTTTTGCAGGATGGTATTATTTGGGAACATAAGTTGAAAGTGGAGGAAAATCAGATTTTAGTTTTTAGTTCTGTGAAGATGAAGTTTTTTTAAAAATAAAGGACAGAAAATAATTTTAAGCAGTGAACTAAAGATGGCTTTTCCAAGAAAATATGTGACTTAAGTTAAATGGCTCAAACAGCTATCTGGGGAGTTAATTGCTGCATGTCTACAAAACTTGAGTCTTTATTACACAGAAACAGGTGTTCAGGTACTTCTAATAGGTTGACTTCAGAAGAACCATCCAGCAGAAGGTCAGTTTTTTTTCAGTTTGTAGAAGTCTCCAGACTGTGAAAATTTAATTTATAGAAATCTTCGGACTAAGGGACAGTTCGTAGAATTAGAAAGCAGCATTCAGGCCATCAGAGCAGAAATGAAGTCTTCAGATATTTCAGTGGTACAAGAAAAATGGGCTGGGAAGATTCATTTGAGTAAGTAATTAAAAGTGGAATGGAATGGAATTGATTAGCTTTATTGTCACATGTACTCATGAGCACAGTAAAAAGTTAACAAGTTGCCACTTTACAGTGCCATCTTAAGTACAAAGGTACCATGTACAGATTCATGAGTACAAATTCTGAGGGGATAAAAGACAAATAAAGAATTAAAAAGTTCAGCATTACAGAACCTTCAGAAGTTTAAAATCACAGTAATAAAGTAGAAAAATAAAGAAATAAAAAAGTAAGGTCGGAGTGATCCTTGAACAGGATTGCATGACAATGCAAAAATAGTTTAATTTTTCTTTTTGCTGTTATGTTAAGACATTCCTAAATGGTCATTAGCTTTGTGTTTTTTCCATTATGAAATAAACTTGTGTTCTTTTGTTAAAAGAACATCCAGAACCTTGTGTGACTATGTTCAGTGACTGACCATCATGATGACCAAAACTGGAAAAGTAAAATTTATAATCTATTCAGCCAAGTTTCACTCTGTGATCTGACTTTTCCAGTACTACCATCAGCTCAGATCATAACAGATAGCTCCTCTTCCCAAACATCACTACTCCATACACTCACTCACCCAACAGCCCCTTTCCCAATCCCCCACTGGTCATTAACACTGCAGCCTGTTTTTGATGCACATCCGCACCTGGCCATTCAGCAGGAACATTCCCTCTCAGCTATGTAGCCACTCCAAGGTGCCATGTACACCTATCGGCATGCCGATGGATTGACGTTCAAATGCAAAGGTCACTGCCACACATGGATCTCGGTGGTCCATAAAGCAGGAAAGAGAATAGGGGGGCCTTCACTCAACAGATCCTCTTCTGAAGCCCATTCACGTGACTTTCTCTCTCATAAGGTGCCATTCTTCTGGTAGGGCAACTTGAGGCAGGCAGGAGGATTGGGTACCCAGATATTGGTGGTCAGTCTCCACTGTCCCTAAAACGGCCAGCAGTGAAAACAACCAGGCTTAACTTGGCAACAGTCTCCATCTGCTACAAAAAAATAGTGGCTGGTGCAGCAACAGGCCCTTATGTGACCAATTAATGGGTTTATTGCACTTTTGGTGAATAGGCCTCCCAATACGCCCGTCCAAGCGTGCATGTAGTGGGGGGCAGGTGGGTAGGTACTTGGAATGATGCTAATGGTATTGTGCCCATTTTTACATCTTCATCCACTGCCAACTTATCCCCAAGGGAATATAAAATTCAGTCTGAAGTTAAAGTTTCAAGTCAATTTCCTTTCAGCACTACTGAGAAAAGTTAAGAATATAAGATTACATTTGTACATTGTACTGTGGCTGCAAGATGTATTGCAATAAAAGTTTTTTTGAGTCCTGTGATCTCTGCAAGTAAGAAATTCAAGGTCAATAATATTGTACACTACCATCTGAAAGTATCCCTCGAAAGAAGGCATCATCCTGACCTGGACAAATGCTGCTATTCCTTGTACTGTTCCTGGGACAATATTCTGGATTTCCCTACTAAAACTATCACGGAGAAACAATCAGCTCAAGGACTAAAGCAATTCAGTGAGAAATCCCATTACCATTACCATCTTCTCACAGATATTCAGAATAGGCCTTACACAGTGCCAGGGACCCATGCTCAATGCCACCTTCAGGTGACTGTCATGTGGTGTTTGCACATACTCCCAGTGTCTGCATGGGTTTGGCAGATTAGCTGGATTGGCCATGCTAAATTGCCCATAGTGTCCAAGCATGTGCAGGCTAGGTGGAAAAGCCATGGGAAATGCAGGGATATAGGGATGGGCTGGGACTGGATGGAATGCTCTTCAAAGGGGTGGTGTGGATTCAATGGGCTGAATGGTCTGCTTTGAGACTGTAAGGATTCAATGATTCTATAAGTTGTTGTATTACCCTCATCCTGTGTACAAAAGGAAAATATGGGAACTGGGAGCAGAATTGAAGCAGTTCACACAGAGCCATGTGGTGAAGCAGTTGGCAGCATTTAAAACATAAAAGACTAGATTGTGCGACAAATAAGCTATAAATGTTTGTAAGGTACCTCCTGTAAATGTGCTTCCATTGTCACTGTACCACAAAGGCAACAGTGAACACTTATACAAAACACTTACACAAAACCTTAAACATTTTCAGGATGTCAGGCTGTTTTGCTGTAAACCTGAAATAACAGTGTAAAATTGGGTGAGCATGAAAACAGAAAGGCATTGAAATAAGTTTAAGAAAATCTAGAGTTCCCTTTTAGAAAGATGCATTTGTGGAAATTGGACAATTTCAAGTTTAGCCCAGCTGAAATACTCGTTTCCACCAATATCACGTACATTGCTGTACTCAATGTCTAACTTTTAATTATGAATAATAATCACTGAATTCGATGACAGAAGCTAGTATCTTCAAAAAGGGGAACTGGAGAGAAAGCATGCTTAATGTTGAAGAATTATCCATCACTGTTATCCTTACCCGCAAGCAAGCAGCACATAGGTCACGTGTCAAGTTGATCTGTGACTGTATGTCGTCTTCTCTGGATGACAACAATTGGACTGGTTGTTTCTTAATTTCAGAAAGCAGAATCTCACAGATATTTATCCACTCAGTGCTTTCCACCTAGTGATTCCAGACAAAGAATTCATGGTGGTTACACAGAAAATACAACTTAACAATTGTGATCTTCAACTGATAACTGAATGACTTTTCTTCAGAGAAAGGAAACATGATCCTGGTGTCCAAAATACTTGAAGAATATTGCAGATACAATAAAATGATCCCATACAGTATGCCACTTTGTATTTAACAATTATTGCTGCCATCCACTTTTGTAATAAGGATAGTTACCTTGAGTTTTTCAAGTTCCTTCAGTTCATTGTCAGGATCTTCAAGGTGCATTACTGTCCTTTGCTTAACCAATTCCTCAACTATATCTCTGCACCAACTGTAAACATAAATACAATAGATAATTATTGGATAATAACTATACAGATGAAATTGTTCAAGGCTACAGAATTTATTTTCCATTCATGCATAGGATGTATGTGTAAGTAGCAATGCTAGCATTTGTTGACCTTCCCTAATTGCTCTGCAGAGATGGTAGCGATGATCAAGCTTCTTGAACCACTGCAGATTTTGCCAGGCAAACAATGAAGGAACAGAGATATTGCTCCAAGTCAGGATTCTGAGTAGCTTAGAGGAAAACTAGAAGATGGTAGTGTTCTCATGCAGTTGTTCTTGTCCCTTTAGGTCAGGCATGTCCCACAAGCAACAACTGTTATTTCAACATATGGATAAGTGTAACTAGAAGATTTTGAAAGGAGCTGCTACTCCAATCACAGACCAGTTCATTCCCACATTTCCTTCTGATATAGACTTACCTGTGAACCTCAGAAACAAATGCAGGAGGAAAACAGTCTGTAATTGGAAGGGCAGTGAGCAGCATAACATGAATGATCAAACTCAGCCCAAGGCCTAGAGCCAAAATGGTGAATCCGTCTGCAGGATGAGGATTTAGAGAGTTACAAGGAGACATAAGGTTTGAAATGAGTGGAATAACAGTCGGGTCACTGTGGCTGGGGACTGAGAGCCCAATGAGCTATTGTGAGGAGGGGTTGAAAGAGAGAGAGAGGGAGTGAGCATCAGCAAAGTGATATTGGTAATTGTACATCTTCACATCTAGATGAATAAATTGGACTGGGTTTTGCTTAATTTCAGAAAGCAGAATCTCACAGATGTTTAACCACTTGGCAACTCCAGGTAAAGAATCAGTGTGGTGACTGTCAGACAGTGATTTGGGGTGGTATCAGCGAGTGTGGGAGAGGTAGTGAATGAGTGCAGTGGAGACAGTGAGTCAGTGGACAGGGGGCTAGGGAGTTATGGGAGGGAGTGAGTGAAGGTGGGCAGTGAGTCACTGGAGGCAGTAGTGAGTGGGCGGGGGAGGAGACAGTGAGAGATCAGGAAGTGAGTGATATGGAGAGAACAGTGAGTGGCTGAGGAGTGAATGACTTAAGAAGAGTGAATGAGCAAGGAGACTGAGTGGTGGGAAGTCAGTGAGTAAGTGAGTCCTTGAGCTCTTTGATGTCACACTGGTTTAAATGTTGCTATGCTGTTAAGAGCTGTCACTCACAGATCACTTGTAGAATTCAGCTCTTCTGTCTATGCTTGGATCAAGGCTGCAAGAAGTTGGAAGCAAATGGTCCTGGCTAAAACCAAACTGAGCGTCGGTAAGCAGGTCATTGTGGTACAGATGACTTGTGACAGCACACAGTCAGTGGCACCTTCCATCACTTTACTGATTATTGAGAGTAGTGGAGAGGAAGTAAATGGGCAGATAAGATTTAACCTGATTCTCGTGGAAATAACATAGCTGAGCAATTTTCCACATCGTTAGGTAGATAAATCAGTGTTGATATTGTACTGGAACAACTTGACAAGGGGCGTGACCACTTTGGAGGAAAGATTCTGTGGTCTGGAAGCTTGAAAATAATTTCTGATGAACAAATCCAAAATCAGAATACCAAGTTTTGTTGTACCTATACCAAGACACATACAAGTTAATATATTCCAACTTGATGTTAGCCCTATGCCAGAGAGGGCTTTATTCTAGGCTGAAATTACAATGCAGGACTGAAGGAATGCTACATTGTCATAGATTCATGTTTCAAATGGGATGACAACCCAGGCCCCTCTGGCCTCTCAGACACATGTAAAATATCCGAGCTGGCTATTTTAAGACGTACTGGGGAATTCTAGTAGCCAGGTCAACATTTCTTTCTCAATCAAAAGTTAAAACCTGGTCTAATAATTTATTTTATCAATTTGCAGATCTTACTGTGCGCAAATTTGTCTACGTTTTCTAAAGTATAACTGTAATTGAACTCCAAGAATATTTAACAGCTAAAAATCTTTTTCAGTTGATCTGAGGTCATGAAAGATGCTACTAAATATTGATACTAATTCTTTTCAGAATATGTTAGCAAGCATTGTCAAATACTTGTCCATACAAAGTGAGTAAAGGTAAGCTTTAGAAACTCTTTCATTATTTTTGAGTGTTTAAGGCCTTCTGCTAATTAAACCCTGATCCTACCTGTACATTTGTGTTGATAAGATATTCAGCTGACTTGCTACCATCAGAGCTTGCTCCTCCAGTTTTGCAGGTGAGTTCGGATAAGCAAGGTGTTTGAAGTATTTTTTTTTGATGTTAGCAATTGGATCATGCACCATTGAAAGCAATAGGTTTACTAACAGGTGACTCATTGCACTTTGAACAATGACAATCTATGGTAAAGAAATAGAAAGTCATAAATATACATTAAAATTAGCATTTTTTTCCAAGTCACACACTTACTATAGTGATTTTTGTCACATTTTCCCATCAAGCTTTTCTCTAATATCTTTGTCATCTTTATTTGTTAACACTTTATTGATTTAAACCATAAGAAATTGGATCCAAAAACACAGAAGAAATATAAACCCAAGCTCCTGTGCAGTCAGATCATTTGATGTTTTCAAACAAAATAGGCAGATTCATGCAATTCAATGTTGTGAGCATAAGAGATTCTAGAATACATGCAATAAACTGTTGTCTGGATTTTGTGAGCAATGACATCAGTACTGATCTCAAATAAAATTGATAACATTTTTGTAGGAATTTCCCATTTTCTGACATTAACTTAAACCGAGTGAAGCTGATTGCTTGATGTGAAGCAACAGTGATATCAGCAAGTAAGCAATCAATTTAAAATTCTTATATATAGGAAACTAGGAAATTAAAAGTATTTTAATCCTTCATTTTAATTTTAAGTTTCACTTAGTGATTCTATAACAAAAATAAGCAGACTTTCTCTGAGAATTTTTCAAAAATGTGGATTTTCAATTATCATTGTGGAAAATGTTGACATTGCAGAAAAATATTAGTTTTTCATGGTCAATGATAACGTTTAGCAGTAATTACAAAGTTAGTGCACCAGTAAAAATACCACCTACACCTTTTTGAACAAGGGCTTTTAACTGATTAAAATTGTAGAAATGTAAGTTCTCACCAATCTATAACTCTAAGGGAAACTGGAGTCTGTGGAAATCTCTGCAACACACCCTAAGGAGGAGTGCTAATCAATGACAGCAACTACTGAGTTTCCATGTTATTCTGTGCATGTCTAAACTCCAGAAGCTGCTGCCTGATGACTGTTGCAATGACAGTAAATGCTGACTGTCATTACCAGAGTAAAATCTGGTTAACTGAATTTGAATTACTCCGTCACTGTAAATCTTTGACTATGATAATTTATTGTCCATTTTATGGGAGAATGATACATCCTCTAGATCCTTTTGAGCAGTTCAGTCTTGCGAGAGCCCTCCTTGAATATATTATCGGGCTATTCTCATGTGACTACCACTCATTCGCACTTGAAATAACACAGCAGGTAGTTGTGCCAACTTATCTCCGAATTTCTGTCCATTCTAATTTTCAGACAGAATCCCATTCAGGCAGCTGGAGCTCCTGTGGGAGATGGGCAGGAGGTTTATTAATACACGCTAGTTGGGATCAGATGACAAAATAAAGAACGCAATGCATTGTCCTCTCGTGCCCACTCTACTACTACTTTGTTTCCACCCAATAGCCATATGTTTTTATGGCAGCACGTCAGGAGGAAGTCATTCTCATTGAAAACTAAAGGGATCTACTCTCAGGGATGACCGAATGGAAATAAATTATGGCAGATTGTTTGTGAGCTTTGTGTTTCAAGAATATCTAAAATGAAATGTATTTGCTTTTGTTGTTGAGATAACTACTGCTCTAAGTTGTTACTCATTATAATTTCCAACTGTTAACTCCCCTTTAAGATGCTGTTCTAAGCCTTAACATTTGACTGCACTGCCCAATTTCCCAGCCTCACAGAATTAAGCTGCCTGTTGTGAGCGCTTTTCATGATTACAGCTCATTGACCCCATCACCATCAAACGATCAGGTTTCTTATCACTCCTCCAAACAGCCATTGCTAGTGCTTGCAAGATTAAATTGGATGGTGTGAGAATGTGAAAAGGTTACACTGTCCTTCAATGGAGTTGTTCTGATTTACTATTGTTTTGCTGTGATATAATCAAAGAATTTTTTTAGACAGTACAAAGGAACCAGCATGACAGAAAGCAAATACTATGCTTACAGAAAATACCTATAGTAGCAGGGATAGCAATTTATGGTAACTCAATTATTGTCACATGCAAAATAGAATCACAAAATTTAATAACTCAAAGGAGGTAAACTGATACATCGTATCTGTGCTAGCTCTCAGAGCTGCTTGTTAAATCACATCCCTTGCCCTTTACTTGTCCCTTTACCAATAATTCTTTCAATACTTCACAACTTCCAGTTAAAATCTATGATGGATTTGTCTGTCAATTCCATGTCATTGAATCTGTAGATAGCTCAACATAAAGAGATCATTTAGCTAAATCAATCTTGTTGGACTTTAATGTGAGCAGTGTTTGTAACCCTCAAGTATGCCAAACATCCTTAACCCAATGGTGGACTTGTAAGATTCTCTTTCAAAAAAGCATGTTACCTGAAAATGGGAAAATTCAGCCCATTATAGCATTTTGGGTTCTGGGTGCATTAACTATGACACACCAAGGAATAAGGGAACTTCAGATGTCAGCAGTTAGGAAAGGGCAGCTCAAAGCCCATTCAAAACCAGAGACACTTCCACGTATCATGGGGCAGATGTCTGGCGAGTAGACAATGCTTGAGTTTTTCCAGAAATTGAGGCCACCTCTTCAGTTCTTTCCTTTGAGTGTTAAGTACTTCTCAGCTTGATTACATTACTTTCAACATCTTATCAAGTTGGAAGCTAAGTGCATATCAGATTAACGGTCCACAGTATGCATGGTTCATAGTTTGTATAGTATGCCTCTTATTAAAATTTGTCAGGAGAATATTTAAGAAAATGTAATAAAACAAATTCAACAACGTTAAACATTTGTATAAATGTCATTGTGTATGTTTGCTTTCATGTTGATGAATATCTAGCTGTTTGGAGTCAAAATGCGGTAAGTTCATGTATGTCCTTTTATCAAGAATGGGATACAGAATCATACAATGGTTGCAAAGCAGAAGATCATTCAACCTTATACTGGCTCTCTGCAAGAACAAATCAGCTTACCCGGCAGTAAATTCAGGGCTAGAATTTTTGAAACCTTGCTTGTCAGTGTCTTTGCTAGCTCCCCAAAATCTACTTTCAGGACCTCATCACTCTTGCTATCGATTTTGTTGGAAACAATATGCAAGCTGACTTGCAACTAATCACCTTCCTTTCTCCAAATTCTTTGTAGTCACTGAGTGGTATCTTTGACCTTGGCACAAAGGAGGCAACAAACCATCCCTCGATTTTTTACTTGGAAAGAAACTAGCAATCTGGCAAGTAGGACCTTAAAGGCAGACAGGAAGGAAACAAAGGGAAGTATTGTGGGTACAGTGGAGAAGGGACAGAACAAGGACATGGGGAAAGAATCAGGGGATGGAAGGGAAGAGAAATAGTAGCTGGGAGGATGAAGGAAACAGAACAAGAAGAAAGGGAAGGGGAAAAGGAGGAGAAATGAAGAGCCCCATGATAAAAGAGTGATGGAAGAGGATACTACAGTAGTGAATTGCAGAGGAATAATAGGAATATATCTTGGAGTGGAAGAGAAGCTGCAGATCAAGGGGTACAAGATGTTCAGAAGTGGAGTGAAGTAGAAGTTCCTTCACTGCCTCTGGATCAAAATCCTGGAATTCCCTCCCTAATAGCATTGTGGGTCAACCCACAACAGGAGGAATGCAGCAGCTCACCACCACCTTCTCAAGGGTAACTAGGGATGGGCAAGAAATGCTGGCCAACCAGCAATGCACACATCCCACAAATGAATAATAAAAAAAACAGAATTGCAAAATGTGTGGATAATGAAGGGGAGGGCACTTGCTTAAATTGAAGGTGAGCCACTACCATTGTTCTCCATTCCATTTAGGCAAAAGCATGCTGTGTATCTCCTCTCAACCTGCAGATTTCAAATTCCTCTTCAATTTCAACTTGCACACTGCTCTCTATCTCATTTTCCTGCCTTGACCTTCACTTCCTATCACTGTTACTTCTTTTCTTCAGGCTCTCACTTGCTAAAATCATCACCACTTTTATCAATTTTCCCGTTTTTCTACAACCCAGAATTACCTTTTACTCACCTCTCTGCTAAGGAGTCAGTCATTACTAGATGAGCTTCCTACAATCTAACTGATCATTGCATGTCTTTTCCGTTAATATTCTAGAATCCGGGACGTCTTTGCTAGCCACACAATTGTTAATGTATACTTCTTTATATGGTGAATGGTATGCAACCTCCATTCTCCCAGTTTAATTCTGCAATGCAGTTTTCCTACTACCATGGTATAACTAGCCTCACTCCATCCCAAACCTCTCCTTCCCTACACCCACTAGAAGGAAGACTGCTGAATTTAGTAATGGAAAATTAGCCACAAGACCTAAGAGAAATAAAACAAAAGTGTACATCAAGTATTAGTGATCACAACATGGTTTAAGATAAAGACTGAGGAGGAAATTAGTAAGCAAAAACTGAAGTAATAATTTGGAATAACACTGATTTTAGTGGGATGCAAATGGTACAGGGGAATGTATATAGAAAAATGTTTTGACGAAGAAAAAGGATAGCTGTAGGAGAAAATTAAAATGGTAATTAATAAAGCCCAGGAAATTATGTCCTCCTGAATAGCAAAAGTATACAAGTGACTAATGCTATACTATTGGATATTTGCAAACCATTTCATACAGAAGTGCTGAGTGGATAAATCATATCGGTCTTTTCCTGAGGTCATCTACAATGTGCAAGTCAAGAGTCTGGTGAAATGCTCTCCACTGACCTGGCTGAGTGCAGCTCTAAGAACACTGAAGAAGTTCAACACCATCCAGGAGAAAAAGGGAGCCACTGCGGCTAGGTAAGATTGTATTAATCCACCAAAGCTCCTTAGACAGCATCTTCCACACCCATGACTTCTGCTATCTAGCAGGACAAGCAGATGCATTGGAACATCACTACAAGTTCCTTTCCAATCCCCACACCATCCTGACTTGGAATTACATCCCCATTCCTTCACTGTCACAGAGTCAAATCCTGGGACTCCTTTCCTAATAGCACTGTGGTTGTCCCTAAACCCCAAAGGTTGCAGCAGTTCAAGAAGACAGCTCACCACCGATTCTTCTAGGGAAATTAAAGATGCACAATAAATGCTGGCC